CCCAAGACATTTTTTCCCGCTGCCAACGAGGCATTTTTCCCTTGCCCATTCCCAGCTATCTCTGGTGGGCAGTGGGGGGGGTTCCATGGGGTGAAAATGGGGAATCTCAGCCCTCCCCAGAACTCTGAAGACTCTAAATTCCACACTGTTGATCCAAGCCTTCTCCCGCTGTCTTTCCTCATTCCCGTTTCCTGGAAAGGTCAGTGGTACTTGGAGCCGTCGCTGGCTCCTCCAGAAGAGGCCATTAATCTCTCCATAATTATCTGCAATCGTTTCAGGAGCAATAACCCGTTTGTCCAAGCTTTTCTCAGAAGCTGGTTAGGCAGAAGGAGGGGATGGAAGGTGGGAGACGCCGGGAAATAATCCAGGGAATGTCCCACGGAGCTCCTGGGCCCCGTGGCTGCGGGAGCTCTGGAGCTGGTGTGGTCCTGCCAAAGGCACCAGGGGTCTGCCCCAGCCCATCGGTCACTGGGAAGGTCTGGAGATGTCCCCAGATCTCCGTGGGTTTCACGTGAAGTGTCTGCATCCACCCCAGTGCTTGGGTTTACTCCAATCAATTTACTTCAATTCCATTTTTTTTTTAATTTTTTTTTAGGAGGTCTGGCCTATTTTTAGGAATACTCACAGTTCTGGGGCTGAACTACTTAAATGATTCACCAAATAAATAAAAATATTTAAATACAATAAATAAATACTTAAATTTAAATAAACACATAAATAAATATTTAAACAAAGAAACAAATAATAGAATTTACCAAAATGAATGAAGATAATAAACATTTAAGCATTCAGAAATTAAAAAGCCCCAAATCCACTTCCATTTTCTATAAATAATTAACAATATTTTTTTTACACACATAGGTGTGTATAAGCAAAGGATTAATCAAAGGTTAGAACAATTACACAGGGCAGGGAGGTTTGCTCAGGTTTAAAGCCCACAATATTCAGGATTCAGTCAAAGATGTGCTGAAGATAAATTAATGTAAAAATCACATCTCAGCTCTGCTGTGGGAACCCACCTTTCATCAAGCTCATTAGCAAATGGTGCTGGTGATTCCAGTGGAGGGAGGTTTGTGGAGAGCTTCCCAAAACAGCTCAGGGAGATGACACATAAAACCCCTGGGCAGAAATCCCATTTCTGTGCTCACCCCCATGTCCAGCCTGGCACCAGATCCGCTGTGGAGGAACCTGAGGATGCTGAGGAAGCCCAGCTCCACACCCAGGAGAGCAGGGACCTCCCTGGGAGCCGTGCCTGAGCCCTGGGTGAAGAGGGACAGTTCCACTGGGGGGGATTCTCTGTCCCCTGAGAGCAGTGATCCCGACCTTGTGGCTGCAAACACCACGAGGGGCTTCCTCTCTGCCTCTGGAGAACCCCGAGGACTTGGGGGGTTCCTGCAGGAACCGAGGAGGGAGCAGCCAGTGGGGATGGGGCTCTGCCCCCAGGGAGCAAGGGAGAGGATGAGAGGGAACGGCCTCAGGCTGTGCCAGGAGAGGTTTTGATGAGAAATTGGGGAAGGATTCTTCACAGAAAGGGTTTTCCAGCCCTGGCACATCGGCCCAGGGCAGCGGTGGAATTGCCCTCCCTGAAGCGATCAGAACCCACATGGATGTGGCACCTGGGGACGAGGTTTAGCGGTGATCACGGTGGTGGTTGAGGGTTGGACTTGGCCAAAATGGTCTTTTCCACTTTAACAGCTATGTGATTCTGTGATTTTAAACCCTCTTCCCACCAAGGCCAGGATCAACATCCTCCCATCGTGCTGGTTTCGACATCTTTGGGACGCAGACGTGTCCTCAGTTCCTGCGGCTTCCTGAAGGCTCCCGCACCCCAGGGGACACGGCGGCCCCAGCCTCTGATGTTTTGCCATCTGAAGACAACAAGAGGTTCATCAGAAGCCCAAATTTATCCCAAGTGGGGCGGGAACCCCAGGCACGGCCACGGCCCGAGCCGTGACGCCGGGACGGAACGCGCGACCTCCGTGAGCAGCAGCTGGCCCGTGTCCGTGTCCCTCCTGCCGGCCCGGAGCTCCCCGCGCCCCGGCGGGGCTGCAAACGCCCCGTGCCCCTCCAGATGACTCCAAACAACTCCAAAGAACTTGACTTGGCTCAGCCCCAGCTGATAAGAAAGTCATGAGCAAAAAAAGCTTCAAGTGCGGGGTCAGCGCTGGCTCGTGGGAACAGCCGGGATCCAGCTCCGCTTCCCGAGGCATCCCCTCCTCCAGGGAAGGGAAAATCCAGTTTTGTGTCTCAGCAATCCCTGCACTCGCCCAGGCTGGAGGCTGCAGACACTGAAACAATCCCGCTTCCCCAGCTCTTTGCACAGGAGAACGTTCCTGCTTTGGTGGGATCCAGCCTGGAAGTTCCATGGTGGAAAATCCAGGGAGCTCTGGCTGGAGCTCCTCTTGGGCTGATGCAGGGTGGGAAGGGGAGATGGGAGAAATGGGGGTTTGCATCCCACTGTTCCCACGTGCTCCCAAGCCTCTGGGACTCTCCTGGAGAGATTTTTCCTGACTCTCCTGGAGGGCAGCTCTGAGGCTTCAGCTCTCCATAAGAGAGGAGAGGAAAGGAATAGAGGGCAGGATATGAGCTGGCACCACCTCTTGATCCCCTCACCCTTCACTGCTGCACTGCTGGGCTGCTCCAGGAGCTAAAACTGGGGAATATCAGCCTGGAGGGGGAAAGGAGAAGGGGAAATTCAGAGATCAGGGCTTGATGTGAATGAAAATATTTGCAGCAGAAAAGCACGGCTGGAAAGATGCCAGAGCTGTTCTCCAGCCCTCCAGACCCCTCTGGCATGAGAGGCAGGGCAAAGGGAATGCTGGCAGCAGGATTTGAGGAATAGGACCAGAAAAGCAGGCACAGCCTTCTATTTATTTATTTAAAGTGATGCCAGTGGAGGTGTTGGGCTGGGAGGCAGTTTCTGAGCGTTCCACATCAGCATTCCCAGTGCCCCAGAACTACACCCAAGCCTTCCCAGAGGATGCCAGAGCAGAAATACACCCAGCATTTCAGTCAGATGACACCAGGCCTCCCAAAAGCAGCAGGATTTGCCAGCTGACAACCCTGGAGAAACATCTTCCCAAAGGATTTGTCCCTGCAAAGTCACTTCCCCATAATGTTTTACCTGTTTGAATTCCTGAGGGATTGCCTCCGAGTTTTCCTGCTCAGGTCCCAGAGGAGAGGCTCTGCAGGTGATGCCTCCAGGAATTTTCCCTCCTCCCAGGCATTCCCACAGCCCCCTCCCTGCGTTTGGGACAGCACAGACTCACTCCTGGGCACTGGGACTCCTCCAGCTGAACTGAAATGGGGTCTGGGGCCTGGCTGGGGGGGTGAAGAGCCATTAGTGCCATAATCAATGCCATAATTAATTAGTGGGGTGTCTGGGAGGCACCTCCATCCCCTCCCGGGGCACATCCCGGGGCACACAGCTGCATTCCCTCTGCCACGGGCAGACGTGGGCAGGGGTCAGCAGAACCTCCCCAGTGCCTGTCCCAGGCGTTTCTCTGCTCCACGGCCGCCCCTGTGAATGGGATTCCTCTCAAGCTCCGCACCCCAAAGCAGGGCCCAGCTGAGCCTCTGTGGGGCAGCCCCACACTTCTCCACCTGCAGGTTAAACCCCTGATTCCAGCTGGAAGCAGCAGCGATTTTCCTTCCCCGACCCTCGTCTGGCAAAGCTGTTGCAGTGCCTTGGACCAGAGAGCCGTGGAGATGTTCCCACAGCTGGCAGAGCCCGAGGGATGCGTGCCCTGAGCTGTGGCTCTCCGGGATCCCTGGCTTTCCTGGGAAGCTGGGACACAAAGCACGGCACTCAGCGGTGCTTTGGGGTTTTGTTCTCCTCACTGAAGGGACTCAACGGCGGCTCGGACCCCAGTGTGGGTCAGGAGCACTCTGGCTGGGCAAGGATGGGTTTTCCCGGGGGTCTCCGAGGGGTTGGAGCCATCCTTTGTCTCCAGCAGAACAGAGAGGGCCATTGATGCCCCGTCCCGTGCAGGAACGTGACCGGCCCAGAAAAGGCTGCAGGACCCCCCCAGGGCTCAGGGAGGGGGGCCCTGCACGCCCCAAGCTCCTCTGTTTTGGGAAGAGAGCCCAGGAAAAGCTGCAGCCCCTCACAGAGGCCAAAGGGTTATAAAGGGTGGTTAAATCCATGGATTCTGCCCTGGGCAGAGGAGCCTTGGAGGGGCTCTGTCCGGGGATGGAGTGAGCGGAGGGACAGGGCCAGCTCACCCCTGCTGCCCTCCAAAGCCTCCAGCTGGCAATGGACGTGTTTGCTCCAAAGTCCAGCCCCAGGGTCCCAGGAATGCACCAAGGTGCAGGGAAGAGCTCCAGAGTCAACTCTGGGACACAAATTTCAAAGTGGAAACATCTCTGTGTATCACTGGCCAAAAAGGGGCAGCAGCTGAGTGCTCCAGGCAAGGCCAGGGGTGGGTGGGCTGTGTCCACCAAACCTGACTTTTCCTCTGTGTCCTTCCCACCAAACCTGGCTTTTCCTCTGTGTCCTTCCCACCAAACCTGGCTTTCCCTGCTGTCCTTCCCACCAAACCTGGCTTTTCCTCTGTGGCCTTCCCCCCAAACCTGGCTTTACCTCTGTGTCCTTCCCACCAAACCTGGCTTTTCCTCTGTGTCCTTCCCACCAAACCTGGCTTTCCCTGCTGTCCTTCCCACCAAACCTGGCTTTCCCTGCACATACAGATGATTTCTGCCCTATTTACAAACCCTGACCACTGAGAGGAGCCAGGCTGGTTCGGTTCTCGCCATCATCTTTGAACAAATCTCGAGAAGAGGATCCCGCCGCTCCTGGAGCAGACGGTGCCGCCCCTCGCCCGGCTTTATTTGTTTTTTATTTCACTCCTTCCCAGAGCTATCCCGTGCTTCTCCCGCTTTTCCCTCCTCCATCCCCATCCCACCCTCAGCCATTGGTGGCGGGGGCTGTGCTGGGGGAGCCCGGGGATGTTCTATAAAACCACCCACTGCGGAGGAGGGAGCGCTGCCCCAGCCCCTCCTGCACCCAGAGCGCTGCAGCTCCCCCAGGACATGCCCAGCATCCCGGGAAAGGAGCCGTGAGGGGGAACAAACAGCTCCCAAATTCCCAAGGAGCACCCAAATCCCACGGTCAGCGGGAAGGTAACAACTCCGGGGGAAAGCTTTGCGCGTTCTTCTGCAAACAAAGCGCTTCCTTGTGCCGGGGTGGAATTTTGCAGGGTTTACAGGGAAGTTCCTCTTGGGCTGGTGAAGGAACCACGGTGCCTGGAGAAGTCAGGGAGAGGAGAGATCCAGCAGATCTCTGGTGGAAGCTCCCGCTCCTGGAGCGGGCTGGGTTCAGGGTGGGGAGCCCCGGGATGTGCCTCTCCTCCATCCTCAGAGCTTTTGCTGCAATATTTATTTATCCACAGAGCTTTTGCTGCAATATTTATCCACAGAAAAGCTGTGCTTGGTGTCTGGAGAGATGGGTCTGGCGAGGTGGGGCTGCTCTGGAAGGGAGGGAGAGGAGGAGGAGGAGGCTGCTGGAGGTGAGGATGCTGCCCGGGATGTGCCGGGCTCTCCTGGGAAGAGGGATTCCAATCCCACACACGGCACCTTTCGGGCAGAACCAGGCTCTGCAGGGTTCAGGTGACAGTTTTCGGTTCAGGTGACAGTTTTTGGTTCAGGTGACACTTTTCCATTCAGGTGACACTTTTCCATTCAGGTGACAGTTTTCAGTTCAGGTGACAGTTTTCCATTCAGGTGACAGTTTTCCATTCAGGTGACAGTTTTCAGTTCAGGTGACAGTTTTCCATTCAGGTGACAGTTTTCAGTTCAGGTGACAGTTTTCAGTTCAGGTGACAGTTTTTGGTTCAGGTGACAGTTTTCAGTTCAGGTGACAGTTTTTGGTTCAGGTGACAGTTTTCCATTCAGGTGACACTTTTCCATTCAGGTGACACTTTTCCATTCAGGTGACAGTTTTCAGTTCAGGTGACAGTTTTCCATTCAGGTGACAGTTTTCAGTCCGGTTTTCTCTCTGGGAATCTCTCCCTGATGTCCATGTCAGGATTCCTGTGGGTTCAGCTGCCGTTTGGGCTCGGCACAATTAAAATTCCCACTGGGATGGGTGAAAGCAGTTCTGGATCTGGGGTTTAACCATGCTGGCCTTGCTTTCCCATCTGAAGAAGCTTCTTGGTGCTCCCGTGCCTCAGTTTCCCTCAGCTGAGGAAGAGCTGTGCTTCCAGGCACCCCGAGATGGGAATTACAAGGAGTAAATGGGCAGCTGGACAGGAGAAAACTGTTTCTCTTTGCCCAGATTTTGGATTTAGTAACAGATTTGATGCAGTGGAAGGCGAGATGGGGAGAAAGCGCTTTTCTCCTGCAGTGCTTTGCAGCTGTGCCGTGGAGCCGTGTCCTGTGATCCTCCCTCACATGAGCTCCTCTGCCAGGGTTTTTATGCTCCAACATTTCTCTTTACCAGAGCTCTGAGGCCGGGCTGGGCACACTGAACAGCCCAGGGCTGTGGGGGGCTCTGGGCACGACTTCCAGAGGTGCTGTGGCATCCTCTGCCAGTGCCACGAGTCCCTGTGAGCCCTCGGGGACCTGAGGCAGGAATTCTGAGCTGGCTCTGCCCTCTCCTGAGAGCTGCGGTCCTGTGGGCACGGTGGGACAGGAGGAGAGGTTTGGACATCCCTCCTGCCCCTGGCGTGGCCGAGGGGGGAACAACAGCTGGGGAGTTCAGCAAGGCTGAAATCCCTGAGCAGCTCAGAGCAGGGATTTGTGTCCAGGTTTGTGATCCTTTGGGGTGTTTATCCATTCTCTCCCTTCCTTTCTTCCCCCTTCCCAGCCCAGCCCAGGTCCTGTGCTCGGTCCTGGGGGCTCCTGGCTGTCCTGGCCACCTCTGCCCGGGCTGGGAGCAGTGCTGGGCCTGCCATTCCCCTTGCCAAGGGCAGGGACAGCCCTGCCACAGCCTGGGAGTGCCTTGGCTCTCCCAGGGGAGCAGCGCCGGGGCACAGCAGGTTTGGGGTCAGACCCCAGCTCTGCCTGGGGGAGTCAGAGCAGAGCTGGAGTCCCCACTGTGATCCCAGTCAGGCTCCCTGGACCCTGTCCCACTTGTTCCCTGGAGCAGGGAAATCCCAGGGACTCTCAGAAAGGCTCCAGTTCCCAGCCACAGCAATTCCTTCTTCCTTCAGAGCCAGGGAGTTTCTCAGTTTGACAATTATTCACTCCAAGCATGAGCCCCCGGATTTCTCCCTGTTTGAGGAGCAGACCGGGGTTTGCTGCCCTCTCCCACTCCTTCTCTGGGCTCATTTCCGAGCCTGGGTCCCCCAGAAACCCCTTCCTCACACCCACACCCCCAGGGTGGTGCCACCACCACGCTCAGCTTTCTCCTGGGGTTGTGGAGCGGCCGCTTGGCTCTTCCAGCCTGGAAGATTTTGCAAAGCAAAATCCTCTTGGGGGCATTTCCTGGTGTTCCCACAGCGTCAGCAGCCAGGGCTGGAGAGAGCCTGGGGAGATTTGTACCCCTGAGCTCGGGGGTTTGGGGAGGAGGAGGTTCAGCTGGTGGTGGTGAGGATGGGAAGGAGGGGCTGTGCTCTGCGCACAAGCTGGGAGGAGATGCCAGCTGGAAAGGGCAGCAGGGCTGTGCTGGATTCTCCCTTGGCAGGGCCAGCCCGAGGGATCAGCTGGGGAGGGCGTGTTGGTGAGGCTCCAGCTCGTGGAATGAACGGGAGGAGTTCTGCTGGCTCTGTGCACCCTGAGCTGCAGAACTGCCCAGGTGTGCAGGCATTGACAGAGCTGCCCCAAAACTGCAGCCTCAACCTGACAGGGACAAAATGACCCAAAAACAAACCCTGCAGCTCCCTGACAGGAGGGACAGCCAGGGAGGCTGGGATTGCCCCCAGGAACAGGGACAGGAGGAGAGGGAACAGCCTCAGGCTGGGCCAGGGGAGGCTCAGGGTGGACAGCAGCAGGAATTTCCCCGTGGGAAGGGGGCCAGGCCTTGGAAGGGGCTGCTCGGGGAGGTTTGGAGTGCCCATCCCTGGAGGTGTCCCAGAAACAACTGGACTCAGAGCTCTGGGCTGGCTGGGGACTGGGCACAGCTTGGAGTCGATGACCCTGGAGGGATTTTCCAGTGTTGAGGATCCTGGGATTCAGAGTGAGGAGTGGGATGGGCACAGAGGGAAATCGGGACGGGCACAGGAGCAGCGATGCCGAGTGCAGGAGGTGCAGTCACCCTCACTGAGCTCAGGCAGGTGTCCCCAGCCCAGCAGGGCTGTGGCAGAGGCACAAGGGATGGTTTGTTCTCCTTCCAGTTTGTTCCACTGAGCTGTTGGAATTTAGCAGCACAAACCCCACCCTCAGGGCCAGCAGCTCCGGCCTGCTGGGATCCGATCTGGCGTCGTTTCTCTTTGCTGGGATGGTGGAGCTCCCCAGCAACTCATAAACAGAATTGAATCATAAACCAGAATGTCCTGAGCTGGAAGGGACCCACAGGATCATCCAGCCCAGCTCCTGGCCCTGCACAGACCCCAGAAACCCCACCCTGGGCATCCCTGGAGCGCTGTCCAAACCCTCCTGGAGCTCCGGCAGCCTCGGGACCGTTCCCTGGGCAGTGCCAGCACCCTCTGGGGGAAGAACCTTTCCTGATCTCCCACCAAACCCTGTCCTGGCCCAGCTCCAGCCCTTCCCTGGGTGCTGTCGCTGCTCACAGCAAGCAGAAGTCAGAGCTGCCTCTTGTGAGGAGCTTTCAGACCCCAGTGAGGTCTGACCTCAGCCTCCTCCTCTCCAGCCTGGACAACTTTTCTCCTCTCCAATACCTGGAGAAATCCCCTGTCCCTTTCTCCACTGGCAGATCCCAGCAAGACCCCGAGGACATTCCACAAGCATCATGAGGCCTCCTGCCCCGGGCTTCGCTGCGCGCTCCTCGTCAGGATCCATCCCGGCTCCCACCGCTCTGGCCATCCTCCTGAGCTGCCTCTTCTCCGGGATACACAGCCAGACCCCAGGAGCCTTCCAGGAGAGCTCTGTGCCCCTGGAGGCGCTCAGCCAGGACCAGCACAGCCTGCTCCAGCCCGGGCTGCTCCGGGCCGCGCCCTCCAACCTCTCTGCGGGCCCCTCAGAGCCGCCGCTGCTGCCCGTGTGCGCCAGGCCCGCCGACATCCGCCACGTCTTCAAGTACATCAACACCGTCGTGTCCTGCAGCATCTTCGTGGTGGGCATCATCGGCAACTCCACGCTGCTGCGCATCATCTACAAGAACAAGTGCATGAGGAACGGGCCCAACGTGCTCATCGCCAGCCTGGCCCTGGGCGACCTGCTCTACATCCTCATCGCACTGCCCATCAACGTCTACAAGGTGGGCTCCAGGGGATGGG